ATAAAGGAGGAAGACAGAATCAGGAAATATGATGGAGTTAATTGGGTTGAGGCTGTAATACATACTAACTAGGGTAACTGTAAAGGTCGGAGGTTCCAGAGATTTCTAAATGAAATGGATTGGTTCTCTAAAATGCATCCTGAATCTGTATACTCCTGTTCCTCTCCCAAGCAGGATAATCTGTGTCTTCAAGGTCAACAGTAGTTTCTTCTCTGGCAGCCTTGTTATTAATACATTCATACCTAGGACCTATCCTTCTTGACCCAGAGCCTTTAAGTCGGGGGATTTCAGGTTTCCTGGGACTTTGTCTCCTTACTGTTTTCAGATTTATGGTCATCTGTCTTCTTAGCTGTGGTTGATGATGTTCCGGTGTAACATGTTCTGTTAAACCAAATGAAGCCCATTCTGTACACATTCTCACTACATAGAACAAAACAGGACAGTAACTTGTCTCAAGGAGCTAGGAGCTGAGATTGGGAGATTCACTCCCTTCAAAGCAAATTTACATGACCTGTTAACAGTTTGCTGGGTTCTTTGGTCTAGATGCCACCTTTAGAAATTTTTATTGTTATAACACCTACCTGCTAGGAACAAGGCAACTGAACACACCCACCCAGGAAAGAGAATGGAATCATCTTATGTTTACTCTGGCATTTTGACTTCAGTAATGCCACCTTATGCAAAGAGTTGACTCATTGGAAAAGACCCTAATGCTGGGAAGGACTGGGGGCAGAAGGAGAAGGGGACAACAGAGGATGAAATGGCTGGATGGCATCACCGACTTGATGGACATGGGTTTGGGTAGACTCCTGGAGTTGGTGATGGACAGGGAAGCCTGGTGTGCTGCGATTCATGGGGTCGCAAAGAATCGGACACGACTGAGCAGCTGAACTGAATGTTCTCTTTTGAAATGATTGCTAATGAAAAATATAAGTCTATAATTTTTAATCAGCTAGTTTCCCTGACATCCTGCTTCCTGAGGTGAGCCAGTACAGTGAATGGTGATGGGTTTTCTCCAACATATTCCTGGAAGGAGAAGACACGTTGCGACTGCTCAGCCATAATCTTTACTGTCTCCAACTATGGCTTGTTTTGTTTGTTTTAAATTTCTCAGTTTTCCTGGCCTCTACGTATAGATAATAAACCTTCTAGCTGTAAGCTTTTCTCTTGAGTACACAAATCATCAGCTTTTGTTTATCAAAGCTAAATGGAAAGAAAAAATGAAAAAAACTTCCTAGTGATATTTAGCTATAATCTTACACTGAAACCTGAAACTCCTACAGTGTAAAAGTATTAACTGCGGGCTAAGATACCTTGTACAACCACTGACAGGACTTGCAGGACTGTGTCTCTATTTGTCAATTCACAAACTCCCGGGAAATTTGTTGGTTCTGCCAAAGATGGTTGTCTAGCCCAGGACTATCCCAGTGTCCATCTTAACTCCTTAGTCTGTTTCCTAATCCTTCCCTGGAATCTAGATTTGCCACTGGCAGCAGCAGGTACCTTGGCTCTGTCAGTGTGACAGCTCCCATCACCACTAAGCTTCTAAACATTTCATTTGCATTGTTATGAAAATCCATGGCCTCCAGTTTTCCCCTCCTGGCCCTTTGTATCTAAACTGCGATGATGTTCTGTTTTTATAAGTATCAGTGAATTCACTGGGACTTCCAAAGCCCCAGTTCTAGTCATACACTTTGGAAGAAATTGTTGATAAAACTTATTGACTCCTCTTATGGTGCTTACGACTCTCTTATTAATCCTTTTCAGATTAATGGAAGAATGTCTGGAAAAAGATACACTTCATAAATTGACATGATCCAAATAAGAAATTTTTAAAAACTTTTGCTTATATGAATATGGAATTCAGTAAATAGTCTTAATTTACCATCATTTTAGCTCTCCTTTCTTGAGCTTTCACAATTTGATGCCTCACTCAGAGCTTCATATGTGTATGTGTGTGTAAAATATATATACATATCTATACAATAATGTATTGTGTTATTATGCTGTATGTGTATAATGTAATGCATTATGTTATCATCAGAATTTCCTTTTTGGTAAAATAGGAACAATACATGTCTCCTAGGGCTTTGCCACAGTACTGAGGTAACACCCACGAACTTGGCACATTGGTAATCCTTCAATAGGGGTGCTATTGCCATGATTTTGATTTAGTGTTGTTTCTATCATTCTTACTTGATAGATGAGGAACCTATTTCACAGGAATTAACTTCCTTCAGAAAGTTCACTTAATATGATAAGATTCAGATTTGAATCAAGGGATAAAATCCTGGTTTCTGAAATCATTTTCCTTCCACCTAGGCATCTTGATTCTTTTACTTCTTGTTTTGTTTCAGTGAGTCAGGCGTATGCCTTCTTAAGTAGTGTGCCTTATGCATGCTCTGTTTCCTTCTTTTTTACTTCTTTTTTCTTCTTCCTCTAATCCACTTGTTTCTTTCCCTAGCAGGACTGAGCACTTCCCTCTGATGCACCTCCTGCAGAAGAGGCTGGGTTGGGATGGGAAATGAGATTAGGAAATAACCTGAGTAACTTTCTCTTTTCATACCTGGACTCATTTCTTACCTCTTCTGCCTACTGTAGATCTCTGAGTTTATTCGCTAGTGGTAAAGAATACCCCTGCCAGTGCAGTAAGAGACATGGATTTGATCCCTGGGTCTGAAAGATCCCCTAGAGGAGATCATGGCAACCCAATCCAGTATTCTTGCTTGGAGAATCCCATGAACAGAGGACCCTGGCAGGCTGCAGTCCCTGGGGTCACAAAAAGGACACAGCTGAAGTGGCTTAACACACCCAAATGCACACACATATCATGTATGTTAAAAAGTATGTTTTCTTATTTAAGTTGCATTTGTGAGGACATTCTCTCAAATACATGAAACATATTTTTATTGTTGTTTTCTTATTTATTGGTAGCACTTTAAATACCATTATCACAAGTGCCAGAGGACTCAAAGCCAGGACCTGGGTAAAAGGAATGAGATGCCCAGGGTGCAAAATTTAAGGAGACTCATTCTGTGTGTGTCATGCCAGTGCAGAATCTCTGCACCTCTGTGCCACAGCCTTTTTAAAATTTGCACCACAAAAGCTTCACTTGCTTTCCCTAAGCCCACGCCTTAAGAGTACCTCTTTATTTTTTCTTAGAGTCCATTTCCTTAGATGATTCCTGGATTGAGAGTGAAGGCACTTCACTTCACTATTATGGCTTTTTCATAATAATGGGCTTAATTTACAGCCCTCTTGGAATTTGCCATGACAGGATAACAAGTTTAAAATCAGACAACGTGCTACTAAGGGCCAGGTGTTCAAAGTATAATAAACACCTCCCTAAAGATTAGAAAATGAATATTTAACTAGATGACTCCATTTGATTTCCTTCATTCATTTTTTATTATTTCAGTGAAAATGTTCTTGATAGAAATCACATTGACAGGATTTTAATATCTTTTGGTAAATGAAACCTGTCATTCTAATGGGCTTATTTCTTGACAGTAGCATTTGGTAAACTCTGGTGGCCACTGATTTTCTTTCTAGCTAAGACTAAAGGAATTCCTTGCACCTTGAACATCAAGAGTACACAATCTGTCCTGAGAGGCTGATAATTATGATGAAACTGGTTATATTAATTAGGTCGTGTTTACAAAGAATTGGATGATTTTTTTTTTAAATAGGAAAACAAAATAACCTCATCTAGGGAAGCTTTAAGTGCTTAATTGTTGTTATTTTCCTTTCAAAGGCAAAGAAAACAATCTTGCCCATCAAAACAGTTTTATGCAGAGAATGTTAGGTTCTTTTCTGAAAACCTAGGCTCAAGAAGGGAGGCTCTCTAGAGGTGAAGTTCACTTAAAAAATTAGCAGTTCATACAGTTATTTTGGAAATAGAGGTCAACACTCGTGGCTTTACATTTCCTCTGTGTTTACCTTAAGATTGTAGTTCCAGAAATGCTATTGTAGTGAGAAACATTTTAGAGCTCCAGTATCAGATTTTGTTAAGTATTTTCCAATAATCACAATTGACAGTTTACATCTGATTTCCTATCAGAACTCAGAGAAAAGTCCCAAAGTAATACAAAAAGCGTCAGGTTTCTCTGCACCCTGGCATTTCCCTAAATGTTGTCTTGTCACCTTCACTGTCATGTTTATGCCTGGGAAAGCCCAGTGTAATTTTGTTGTTGCTGTTGTTTTTAACTTGTGCTGCCAAGTTAAAAACTTGTGTTACACAAGTGCATTGCTGTTTTTTGTTGTAAATTCTCTAAGATTATCATGGAAGACTGAACCCAATGTAAAGGCATACTGGGGACATTGACACAAAATCAGGTGTCCTGTTTTGCAGCATTCGTAATGCTTATTTCATTGCATTCCTTTGCACTGGATTGAATTAAAGCTGAACCTAAGATAAATAATAACTTTCTGATTGTCTTTCTATAAATGATGAAATGTATACAGTCACTCAACAGAGAGACAAATACATAGCTTGTGTGATATTTTGGAGGAGAGCAAAACTATTAAAAGCTAGAGATGTGGTTTTATAAAAAAATTTAGTTTGCTTTTGTGTTTTTAAAAGCATTTTTTTCCCCCTTTCCGTATCATGTTTGTTAATGGCTATAGTGACAGGAATTGCATTTCAGAATCTGCTCAAATCCTCATGGAAGCAGCAACTGAGACTGAAGAAAAACTGGCTCTATCAGGTTAATCTAGGATTTCCAAACTGATTTGAGATAAAAAAAGAAACCCAAGATTTCCCAGTGAATGGGGATCTTGGTTTTATTTATATAAAGCTCCTCCATCACCCACTCCAGTATGATGCTTCTGAAATGCAGAAACCTGTCACTTCAGAGATAAACTCCTAATCCACCTCTGTCCTTGGCATTCTCTGTGTTCAGTGGGCAGGTCTCTTTGGTGTGGATATTTCCTATCACTTATTCTCAGCACTACCTTAGTGTCATAAACTGATAGCTTTAACTGATGCTTTTCTTGTCTTCCAGATTCAACGAAGACATCCAGACGGTTCTACGCAGGGTTTTGAGAGCAGCCCCTGTTGAAGCTCTTCTTCAGGTAATCTGGAATGACAGCACATGTGTCATAAACCAAAAGCCTTGCTCCTATGTTCACCCGATCAAAGCATCTGTGAATGCTCTTCCCTAGGTGAATATGCAAATCAGCAGTAGCCTCATTTGATAATATTTTTTGCTCAGAGTCAGGATTTCAACCTTCCTTGCTTCTCAAGTATATACTGGGGGAAAAAGGCATGTGTTTATCAAAAAAACCAACAGCTTCCTCTTCCTTCTCCCAAGCTAAGTTAGTTTTCCAGGGCCCTCATTACACTTTTAGTGTATCCCTTACCATAATTCTCTCACTGCTTGATTTCATCTCTAGGCCAAGAGCTTCTTGCTAATAAAGATGGTGCCTTAATAATTTTTTTTTAACACCCAGTGCCTGACATATAAGTGCTTAAAGAAAGTTGTTCAAATGATTGAATGAACTGATGAAAACCGAAACCTTAAGAAAAATTATTGATATCCAGATACAAAGTCCACTGTTTGTGACTCCAAGTTTTGATTTTATATGTTTAATTTTTTCATTGGTGAGATCTTGCTTTCCAGCTAAGCAACCATGCTGACTTGGCTATTCTGTTAAATACACATGTGACCATGTGTCCTTTCCCTTTCTGGTATATATTGATACACATTTGTGCGGGAGAAAGAATGTTCATATTGGAGGAAGACTTGACATGTTCTAATGAGGCTGACTATCTCAGAGCTGGTAGTTCTCACCCTGAGAATTCTTCCTGTCACCCAGTGTGTTTCAGTCAAAGCGTTAGCCAGTTGGTGAGCGAGATTTTGGAAAAGTTCCAAGCTATAGTTAATTATGTGCTTTTTCGAAGCTCGACTGTCTTTGCTGCCTTCATGGATGCCTTTTCTCTATTTAGTATGTGGTTTGTTTTGCTTTTCTGCATATCTAACCTTATTTACAGTTTTCTTTCATAAAATAGAAACATACTATAACATCGAGGCAAGTTACACATTGCATTAGATTTGTTCAAAGGTTTTAAAAAGGCAGTGAAATGACATATGTAATAACACTCTGAAAACTATAAAGAATCCTACTGCTAAAAAGAATTTATCGTTTAATGTCATTCATTTTCGTTTTTAAAAAGCACATGAGAATATCTGAATTTTGAACCTGTGACATGTATTTTTTGTGGAATTTTGGTGGACTTTTTGGTCTTTCTGATTTTTGTACAAGATGAGTTGTTTATATGTATGTATACATGTGTGCTTTCTAGAGATTTCCAGGGTAGTTTTCTTTTTTTTTTTTTCCAGTTCATTTATTTCACTTTGGTTTTGCTTGTTCATGCCTGCAGAGAATAAACTTTATGATAAAGCTGATACTTCAACTCTAAAAATGACAAGCCTGTGGGATTTGTAGAGGGGGTGGTCAAGAAAAAGAACAAGCTGAGGAAAAATTAAATAGTTCCCAAAGAGCATTTTACTTACTGAAATATAATCCCAAAGGAAATTGCTATAATGTAAAAGACTTGAAATAAGAATTCTTGATATTAGGTACATGTAAGTTACAGTCAGAGGAGCTAAGAAATTGATGAGTTGTAGATAATCTCTGTTGCTGTGTTTGAAGACATTTCATGGGTGAATTCTGAAATGAAGTCCTCTGTTGGATGGATACTTACTTTGGTAGCCTCAGTATTATTGATTCATTGAAGACAAAGAGGAAAATGCTCTGATCTGTATGCTAAGAATTTGCTTCCTGGGGAAGGTAGATAGTCTCAGGCTTCCTAACTTTTCATTCAATTGTGAAGCCCACCTAGGAAGACATTATTAAAGTGAATTATTAAAGAAACTGAGTTTTGGAGCCTTAAAGCAGAATTTGCAGTACTCTGCAAATTTTACAACATCTTGTTTGAAAATACACATTTTCCCCATAATGTTTAGAGACAGAAGGAAAGATAATTCACTCAGGAGTGAGAAAAGTTAGCCATGGCACTAAAACTCAACTGAATGTTTTAAAGTGTAAGTTGGGTTTTAGACACTTCCTTTAAGAATCAGAGATTTATAATTTGAACAGCTGGCCTGCTGTTTGCTATTATGTCAGTCCTAAAATAATCTGTGGGAAAATTTAATGTTGTTATTAATATTTTAAATCTTTTGCTATAGATAAGCTGGTATAATAATGCTTAAGTTTTCAAATCATACATGATTTTTTTTTTCTGAAAACATCCTATTTTGTGTTATGACATGAATTAAAACTTTTTTTAAAGAAAAGAATAAAGCATGGTATACAGTGTGGGAGAATAAACATTTTGCTTTCTTCTTTCCTAGATCACACACTAACTAGTAGGTAAAGGTGAGGGTTTTAGGACAATTCAGGCTAGAAATAAATTCTCTTAACCATTTTTCTAACTAAAATATTGACCAACTACTTAATATCTTCAAATTATAGTTTTTCAACCTGTAAAGTGGAAATTATAATAGTAACCATCTTTTGAGCTTGTTATAATGATTTAATCAGGAAATAGATTGTAAATGGAGTAGTGTCTGGAAAAGAAAATAAATACGTCAGATGTTCATTTATTCTAGTATCTCTGTGAAGGATACTGTGAGAAAAAGGTAGACTTTTTTTTTTTTTGACTCAAATGCTATGGGCTTTTGCAGACTTAGTAAGATATATCCAAAATAGAACCTTTTATTTGTGTGATAAGTATGTCAATATATTTTGCTCCTAATTTTCTTTGGATTGGAAGTAAGGGCTGGCAATACACGTGTTCCAAGAGAAGTAAAAGTGTGACAAGGTCTTCTTTCCACTTTGACTGAAATGCTCATTAGTTCCTGCTAATGAGAAAAGTTTAGGTCAGAAGCCAAAAGAGTACATTCTCAGGATAAGAAATGAGAGAGGTTAAATAGCCAAGGTTAAGAATCAGGGATCCAGGTCAAATAGTGACAATGGATAGTGTAGTGTTGAGAATCAGATGGCCACAAGCAGAAGGTACACACTCTTTTGGAGAAAAGACATAAACACAAATTGTCACAACTGGAATGAATTAAAGCAGTGTGTTCCTTGACATCAACCAGAATATCATTAGAAGAGTTTCCTTTGGAGTTATGACAAAAGTTAATTTGAAGCATTTTTTTTTTTATGCCAGATAATAGACAAATTTGCTTTAAAAGCAATATTCCTATATAATATACAAAATATTTGCTGGATGGAATGAGAATTAGGGACAGGATCCTGTTACAAGATATAGTTAGCATCAAGGGTGCCTTTGTGAAGATAGGTATTCTACTTGTGATGCCTTGTATGAACAAATGCCTCAGTTCATGTTTGGGTTTGATCACTCACTTATTCATCCATTTCACTAGTTATTTCATACATTTTTAACTTATTTTGTTTCTGTTAGATAACACGATTATACCATAATCTTTTTCTGACGTTTTTCATGTCGACATGTTAACTTGCTTGTTCTGCTTTCTTTCGTTTTTCTCTTGCAGCCAAGATAGAGAACTTCTCTTTTTATAGAGCCGTGTGATAAGTGTGATCAAGGAATATCTTCCTGCTCTCATGCTTGCCTCTCTGCAGTGCAGATCCTCTCCACCAAATATTTGGAGGGATCTTTGTGAAATATGCTTTCAAAAGTGTCATTCCCCTAAGACTATTTTCTTTCCCTTCGTCTCAGAAGACAATCTAACCTCTTCACCTGGACCTAAACAGCCCACATAACTTGTGACTCTCCAGCCCCATGATATTCCTCTCTTCTCGCTCACCACTCTCCAGCCGCCTGAGCTGCTGCTTTTTCCTGGAGTATCCCAGCCTGAGAAATTAACCTGAGATTTCTGTGTTTGGCATCTCTGTGCCTCAGCAGAAGGCACCTGTTCCTTCAGGTCTCAGCTCAGATATTACCTAATTAAAGAGAACTTTTTTGACTAACCTATGTTATTCTGTGATAACTCCACTTACTATCTTTAAAACATTTATCACAACCTACTATTTTTGTTTACTGATTTAATTACACTACTATGATCTCTTTTGACCCCATTAACATATATCTGCCAAAAGATGAATAATTTTTTCTGTCTCAGTTGGGACTCTATCCCCTGAAACCAGAAAAATAAATGTTTAGCAGTTGGTAGGTGCTCAGTAGTATGTTTTAACAAATGAATGCATCACAGCTTTATTATCTTGTCACTATCATAGTTCATAATCTTCCTCATGCTTTGTGTTAGTCACTGTTTACTGAGGACTTAGGATGTGAAGGGAACTGAGACCTTAAGGGAATACAGATTAATAAAGACTTGATTCCTTCGCTGTATGATAGGGCTCACAGAGAGGTTTCTGCTTGTCTTGGCCAGTTCCTAGATTTCTGTGTGTAGAAAGAGACTGGGGCTATGTCTCAACACAGTAATGCATGCCAGCAGCACAGAAGGGAGGAGACAAAATACTCATGTCATAAGTTGGCCATTCCTGATGAACTAATAGAATTAGCACACTTTCAAAACACCTTTCTTACAGAAGAAGGTGTTTTGTTTTGTTTTGTTTTTCTGTAAGTCTCTCTAATGTGCCTGTTCCCTTTAGCCGTGGAACTTTTTTGCACAGGTGGAAGTCACTCGGCTCATCCACCCCGACCCTCCTCTTCCCTTCCTACATCTCCTCACGGCCCCTTCACCTAGCGGTCATCCTTCGTATCTCAGTCAAGGACTCCCCTTCAGGGATTCCTCCTTTACTTCTCTGCCTTCCCCTGACTAGGTTAATTTTTCTGCCCTCTACTTTCCTGACTTCTGTTCATAGCACTTAGCATTGTCGTCACTGTACATGGACCTGTGTCCTTAGTCGATTAATCGTCTGTCTGTCATACTGGACTATGAACTCCATAAGGACAAGTCTTTGTTTTGCTATTTCCAACGCCAGCCACCTGAGATTACACCATGTTTCCCTTAGGAAATCGCCATTCATGTAATATTATACTGATTCCAAAGCACTCAATCTAAGATAACATCATTTTGTTTAAACCTGGTCCTTAATGAGTTTGATACATTCTCACTGCT